GAGGACGATGAGTTGGAGAGAGAGAGAGAGGAAGAGAGGAAATCAGAGAGCGACAGGGAATGGGAAAGAGAAAAGGAGAGAATGGCGAATAAGGAAGCGCTTGAGTGGGAGCTGAACAAAAAAACTGAACAAGGCGAATTGAACGGAGAGCAAGAAATTAGTTTTCATAAGCGCCTGCGTTGTTTGGGCGTCCGTGTGCTACCTTCAGACATTCAGCCCCGCACACTTCGACCCTTATCTGGCCTCTCATCGGAAGGGCCGGCAGGGGACGCTGAGTTCAATCGGACCCCGTTCGCTTTCCTCGCGTCTGGGCCGTCCGACTACGCAGAGTCCGAGTCAGGAGCCAGTGTGTCTGAGTGTAGCATGTCTGCGGCCAGTATCTCTGGTCTCTCTGTGTATCTGAGTAAGTCAAAAACCACACAAAGGGCCTCGGGCCCCCCACTTCCTGGCCCCTGGCTAAAACCCAGCTCAAAGAGAATCATTAGAGAGGCTGAGAGGATACGAATGCTAGGGAAAGGTAGAAGAACTGAAACATGATTTATGATCTTCTTTACTGTTGCTCATATTTATGTTCAAAGTCGCGATCAAACGGAATAGTCTTTTTTTCTTCCGTATTGTGACGTACATCTGAGTGAAACAGATTGAAAACAAATGAAGGCCCGAGGCCGAGACTTGGCTCTCCAATTTTTGATTGGATGGAGGCAAATCTGAATGCAAGCTTGCAGTCGATTATAAGAAAGCAGAAAGGTTTATGTAAACTAAATGATTGAGGAAATCCATACACTGTAAACAAATATTGATGGTTTAACTTAAAAAAGTAAGTAACCTGGTTGCCTTAAAATTTTAAGTTGATTGAACTGGAAAAAGTGAGTTAATACAATGAAGGAGATTAATTTAACCATCAGAAACTCAAAATGATATGTTATCTGAACTAAATAAATTATTTAAGTTGATTTGACAAAAGAAAAAATGTTGTGATTACTACACTGTAAAAAAAAATATTGTTGGTTTAACTTAAAAAAGTAAGTAACCTGGGTTGCCTTAAAATTTTAAGTTGATTGAACTGGAAAAAGTGAGTTAATACAATGAAGTAGATTAATTTAACCATCAGAAACTCAAAATAATAAGTTATCTCAACTAAATAAATTATTATAAAGTTGATTTGACAAAAGAAAATATGTTGTGATAACAAATCTTGAAAATATTTTTTTTACAGTGTACGTTACATGAGGGAAGTCTATGGTTTCACCGAAAGAGCGATTTAGGACATTTTAATAAAACAAAATGACGAGGTGTACACATTTTTAAATAATAAACATGCATGGATGAATGGTTCGCAATAATTTTGTAGAGCTGTTCTGTTCCTTTCCTAAGTAATAGAAAATCTAAATTTACATTTAATGATTTTATCCAAGGTGACTTGAATACGGAAAATAACAAGTAATTTGTGCCATGCAGCAATATTTATCGTACACAATAGCAAGTTGCCAAGTTTAAAAGATAAGGACATTTTTAAGCATATTAGCAACCATTTACAACAACCATCATGGTGACGATGGCAAATGCCACTTACAGGAAATTATTATTTTCATTATTATATTTTTGTTTTTTTGAACACTCCCACTCCAGTTTGCTCTCTCAAGCCTTTCTCTCTTCCTCTTTTCCACTTTGTCCTTCATAAGGAATGTCTGCCTTGATCAACACAACATCTTTTACTTTTCGGCCAGACTGTTACAGTATGTTGACTTCGTATACAACAAGAGGATCATGCTTAGGGCCAAATAATCTTCTTATCTTTAATGATAGCTTGAGTCCAGTTCTTACCTTTTGCACAGCTGTTTTTCCTCTTCTGTACCACTGTGTGAACTCTCTTTAATCTTAAACAATGCTCCATATAAACCATGGAACGATGATACACTGTATGCGCACATTTCATTACCTTCAAAGCAAATATTGATTGACTACCTTTCAAAAGTTTAGGGTCAGTATGTTTTTGTTTTTTTAATAATACTTTTAAATTGACAGTAAAGACTTTAAAAGATACAAAAGATGTCTTTTTGAAGTAAATGCTTTCTATTCATCAAAGAATACGGGGGGAAAATATGTTGGTTTCCTCAAAAATATTAACCAGCTCAACTGTTTTAAACATTGATAATAATAAGAAATGATTCTTGAGCAGCAAATCGGCATAGTAGAATGATTTCTGAAGGATCATCCGACTTTGCTGAAAATTCAGCTTAGCCATTTCTGGAATAAATTACATTTTATTATATATTAAAATATTTTAAATTGTAATAATTTCTCTGTACTTTTGATCATAGGAGACTTTAACTTTAAAAACTTATCCCAAACTTTTGAACAGTAGTAGCCTGAGATTTCATGTTCGAAACATTAACTTAGAACAATTTGTTCAAAAAAAGCATTATTCAGATCTCTGCTTATATGACTGTATAAATTAGTGTTCTTGTGAATGGTGTGTAAACATGTAAGCTTACACAAGAGGCCATATATTTGTCGTATTCCCAAGAGTTCCCCCTGAAACATGTTTAGTTTTTCACGCATTTATACATAAATTATTATTATTATTGTATTCATCTTGTGCCCTCTGGGTCTCTGACATCTCAGGAAGCATATATATAAATATATAAACTTTTTATTTTATTTATGAATCCCTTATAGACCCTCAAAATTGCCCTTATTGCCTTTGTAACAAAAGACTCGTCTGCTGACCTCGGAAATCTCAATTGAGTTCAAATGAAATGTTGATTCATATATTTTTAAAAGGTTTTCATTTCTGAGTTTTTAGTTTATGCCATTTACCAGAACAATGCTTGACACATTTCCTGCATCTATCAATGATTCACACTATACAAAGATTAACTCTCAGTCCAACTTCCATAAAGAGAATATAGAGTATATATGAAAATCATATGAAGTATCTATTTATTTTAAATATAAACAGTAATTGATAAAGGACAAAGAAATGCTTTATGAAACGGCCCTCTTTCTGCTCTCGGGCATTTTGACCCCGTCAACCAAAAAGGCCTATTGTGCTGAACATTTGTATTGGAAATATACTGTAAGTTGGATGCAATACTGAGTGGTGCTGTGCCAAGCCTGCAAAACCTCTTTATTTTAATGTACCAAGGTCTTTCTCTTTATTTGTGAAAGCTTGCTAGTAAAAGTGCGAGAGAGGATGACTGTATTATGCTCTTGTGAACTGTAGATATACTAATGATATTTTAGCATTTAACCTAAGAACTGTGCCTACTACTTATTTCCTTGATTCATTTTTTGTGTCCTCAAACCCAAATGTCACCCAATATTGTTCATTGTGTGTGTCATACTGTCTAGCAGAACTTGTACGCACATTTAAACTATGCATAAGATGTTGCCATTTTAGATCATTGGGACAGCAGTGTGTTCTGTGCAGCCCAGCAGGTCTGGGATCAAGTCGAAGTCAGTCTGGTGTTGGTGGTCCATGCATCTTTAAACATATCATGATATTCAAAGTATGAGCCAATGCCACATAAGCTTTCACTAACGAGTCCTACGCCTCTATATTTATTACACGTTAAATCCGAAGGGTCCATTTTAGAGTCTCACATTGTCTTTATGTCCATACTAATGGCCATATGTACCGATTGTAAATAGATATAAATATAAATAAATATATATATATACATATAATATTAATATATATACATATAATATTATGTTTCTATTATGATTATATTGTTATAATCTATTGTAATCCAAATGCAGATAACAAACTGTATAAGAGTTATAATAAACATTAATGTATTTACCTGAGATCAATTGTGGACTGGACTCTCTCTCTCTCTCTCTCTCTCTCTCTCTCTCTCTCTCTTTCTCTCTCTCTCTCTCTCTCTCTGTGTGTGTGTGTGTAGTGTTCCATGTGGATGTAATTTCTACCCTGAGCAGTAGATGACAGCAAAGTGTATTGAAAAACACTTCATAACTTGAAGATAAAAATAACTTGACTTTAGTATTTGAGATAACCAAAAATGTAATTATTTATTCATTTATCAGACACTTTATTATACACTTATTTTACAGCGTACTTGTTATATATGTTATATGTGCTTACTGTAGTAACAACGGTAAATTATGCATAATTACTGTACAGGCAAATAGCCCTATTCATGTTGTGAAAGCATGTTGTTAATTAATATTATTGTCTACTTAAATGTATAATTATAAGGACACCTTAAAAATATAGTGTAACCAAAAATTGTTTAATTCTTTACTACAATATTGTCATGATTAATACAGTTATATTCATACTGTTCATAATAATACAGTTCTTAAGTGAAAAGTGTAATTAACTTACTAACATTTTGATGCACAATTTTTTACTTAAATTAAAGCCAACAAAAACTTAAATCTTCAATTTTATTGGTTTGATTTTTACAGCATATTTCCCCTGATAACATTTCTATCATTTCTAAATTTCAAATGAAATAAGTTTTTTTATTATTATTTTTTTTTTTATTCCTGTTGGAAGGTGGTAGCTGCTTGGATTTAGAACATGATTTAGCTGGGCTTGTAACCAGGTCATAGCATCCTGTGGTGACCATGGCTTTGGAAAATTGTCAACCAGCTAATGCATGACTAGTTAGAAACTATGTTCCAAAAAAAAAAAAAGAAAAAGAAAAAGACAGCTAGCCCAGTTTGAATGAACTGGATATCCCAACTTGATTTTGTTACATTAAACAAAGTAATTCTCTTTCTTTAAATGTATTTATTGACAATAACTGTTGTAGCTAAATATTACATTTTTGATAGAGATGTTGTTAGCCTATGGTAATTTTTGTAAGACTATTCAAATTGTTACGTTACATACGTAGCCTAACATGTTTGTATGATTCAAGCTTCATTTGTTGAAATCTCTCTCGCTCTGTTCTACTGAAAAGATCTTGCGTGGGAAGACTGTGTGACGAGCGCAGGAAAGACTAGCTTTACGCTTCTCTGCTTTTCAGTTGCTACTGGATCTGTCAGGTGAGAAGCGCGCTCACGAATCTGAGCATCCGCGAGCATCTTCAAAAGCATCAGCGCGCGTCAAGTGACCAAGCGTCGGTTACTTCGGGAAATACAGGAGGAACTTCAGCGCAGGTGGTCCTCGGTCACCTCGTTGATTTACGTCTTGGAAAAGTCTGTTTTATGAGAGAACATACAAATGCCGTCTTAAAAGACGTTGTTATTCACACTCGACCAACGTCGAGGTTAAAATAAACTAACAAGACGCGAAGAATGTACAAAGAAATCGGAGCGCTCGAGATGCACTGAAAGCTTCCCTTAAAATGGGTTGAAGAAAAGAAAACGAAGATAAAGAGAGGTGTAAGTAGGATTTTTTTTAAACATGTGAAACTGGAACCATAGGCTATATGTAAATTAGATTTTGAAATGCATTGACACTGTATTGAAGAAGAAGAGTAAGCGCGCTCAGCGCGTGCAATTGTTTCATAGACTTTTAATGTATTTATCTCAAATTCTTCTTCTGCTGCTTTGTATAAAAGCGGGTTACTGTCTTGAGATGTTGGACTTCACATTTATGATTCAGTTTTAGAATTTCACTGGTCTGTTAATGAAGAAAGCCGTTTCTTCACTTATATTAAGAGTATGTTTTCTATCTCAAGCTATACAGATCATAGTGGATTTCTGGGAATAAATTGGTATATTTTTGCTGCTGTTCCACTGTGCTACCTCAGCATGTGGGAGTTGTGTGTAGCACAACAAATCCCAAGATGACTGGATTTTGGAATGACTGGGTTTGTGGAAACAGTAGAAATGATCTACAGATTTCCTTTGACTGTAATATAAGCATTTATTTACATCACTTATGTCCATGAGTTCATGTCGTCACGTGGACTCAAATGGATCTTTTTTGTCTGGAACAACTAAGCCGATGCTCAGAACGGTCCATGCCATACCCTTTTTTAGAATTTATCGTTATTTACTAACTTTTTGAAGTACAATCACAGCTGAACTCATTTGCTGAGAGCTGCAGTTACAGGCCATAACTTTTTTTTCACAATTGAAGGATTCATGGATAAACATTAAGATGCAATCGCTGCAAATAACATTGGTGCTGTAAATGTCCTTTGCTGGTGTTTTTCATTTATTGATACTCGTTGCAACTTATAGGATAAAAGACAGATCTGTCAAGCTTCTACCTTCGGGCTTTTTTGTTTTATCTCCCCCCCACTGAACTTATCAGGTGGGGGGGGGGAAGGGTAAGGCCCAAACAATGGAGTCCAACCCAGACAGCCCAAGCCGGGCTGTGGAGTACCTTCTGGAACTCAATAACATCATCGAGAACCAGGCCAAACTGCTAGAAACTCAACGTAAACGCATTGAAGAGCTCGAGACGCAGCTAGACCAGGTCAACCAGGAGAACCAGGACCTGCGGCAGGACAGGAACCCAGGAACCGAGAACTCGCAGCAGATCCACAACTACAATCAGAGCTCAAAGCCCAGCCAGCCATCATCACTACCAAACCACAATTCCGGAGGCATCATTCAGAACAGCAGCAGTAATATACCCTCATCCACAGTGCCTGGTCCAGCTCGACGGACACACACGAGGCTGACCCGAGGCCTGTCATGTGGGTCAGCACCTGTTGAGAAAGAGAGAAGCCGACTGGAGCGCAATGACAGCTCTGGGACCAACAACACCTCGACTCTACGGAAACAGTAAGTGCCCCATTCTCTTGTGTTATAGACCTCATATTATAATGGGTTGATCTGGGCTATTGGGCTATTGGGCTATTGTTCGGGCATTTGTGTTGCCATATGGTATTTGTGCTATTTTTGCGGTAGGATAAGTTAATTTAGTGTTGATATGAATTACAAAGTCTGGTCAACAAAAGCGTGTGTTCTTCTGTGCAAGAGATGAAAGTCTAAGACTCAATTAATTCAGAAATACATTGAGTTGAGACTCTTTAGGCCTGTTCACACAAAGAGCGATAACTATTACGATATTGGTGTCCACACCAGCGGATGATATTCTGTTTGTGTTAGTTTTATGTCTGCCTCATTAAAAACTTAGGTTGTTTAAAGCAGGATGGATTCTTATTGGCTCTCAATGTTTATATCATTCATCAGCAGGAAAAAAAAAGTTTCTGAAAGTGATTCCAACTATATCGTTTCCCTTAGACTTGAACATAATTTAACCTAGACTTTGATTTCTACAATTCTTTAGATCTGCAAGGAGAAGTATATTATATTATATTATATTATATTATATTATATTATATTATATTATATTATATTATATTATATTATATTATTCTTTCCTTTTTTCCACACATGCAGATATAGATATTATGATTGATAGTATGAGTGGTAATACATCATATGCTGGCAGTGTACCATGTGACTTAGTGTGAGCAAAAACACATTGTTTACCACAGTAAGTAACTCATTTATTTACTACAGGGAAACATATTGATTTTCTATTAACTAAAAGAATAATATGAATAAAAATTATTATTATTATTATTATTATTATTATTATTATTATTATCAACAACAACATAATAATAATAATAATAATAATAAATATTATTATTCCATTATTATTAACAACAACAATATAATAATAATAATAATAATTATTATTATTATTATTATTACTTCAGATTGAATATTGTTTGTTTTTTATTCATGTAAATATATACTTTCGTTTGAACTATAGAGTGACCTAATGGATGAAAAAACAATGATAATAATAATATTTGTCCTATATCACAGGATTTATAAACTTAAAGGGTTAGTTCACCCAAAAATAAAAATTCTGTCAGTATTTACTCACCCTCATGTTGTTCCAACCCCGTAAGACCTTCGATCATCTTTGGAACACACAAAAAAAAAATAGGATATTTTTGATTACATCTGAGAGCTGGATCACTCCTGCTGCATACTAGTCCATAGGCTTCTTGAGGAATTGAAACTTGCCGGCCTCGAAAAGTTATTAAAGACATCGTTAAAGTGACTACAGTGGCTCAATCTTAAGTTTATCAAATGACGAAGATACTTTTTGTGCGCAAAAAAAAAAAAAAAATAACGAATTTATTTCAACTATTCATTTCCTTCTCTCTTGGCCTCGAGTTTAACAGCGTATGATCTGTTGTACGTCACACGCATCAGACACATGACCAGCGTCGGCCAATAGTGAGCCTACGTGAAAGAAGGAAATTAATATATTATAAATATAATAAAGTCGTTATTTATGTTTGTTTTTGCACACAAAAAGTATTCTCCTCGCTTGATAAAGTTAAGATTGAGCCACTAGTCACTTGGACTATTTTAACAATGTCTTTAATAACTTTTCGAGGACGGCAAGTTTCAATTCCTCAAGAAGCCTATGGACTAGTATGTACAGTAGCAGTGATCCAGCTCTCAGATTTCATCAAAAATATCTTAATTTGTGTTCCGAAGATGAACGAAGGCCTTACGGGGTTGAAACAACATGAGGGTGAGTAAATACTGACAAAATTTTCATTTTTGGGGGAACTTTAACCTGAAGCAGGAAAATATTTAGACTTGATCTTGAAGATTCAATGGCAGAGACGTGAACGTGTTGAGAACACATTTCTTCTGTTTTTTGCTTGGTTCTGGATTTATTTCTGTATATGGATGCAATCTGAAATATTGTAAAACACTTTATATATAAGTGAGGTCTACATTTTTGTGCGAAGGCATGTGCTCTGTGTATGTATGTGTTTGACAAAAGCACAATCTGGGTTAACTTTGGGGTTGAAAGAATTTTGGGGTTGAAATGAAACACCAAGTTCTCCCACTTCTGCTTATTTTGTGTGCTTATTCTGCTCAGATGTTATGCTTCAGTGTTTTTTCCATTTTGAAGTAAGCAAACACATGGAGTTTGTTGTTGGTGGGGGAAAGGTTAAGTATCCTGCAGATGTTTTTTTTTTCTGCATCCTTGGGTGATCCAGGCATCAACAGAAGCAGCAGCTCCAGAGCTTCAATCTCAGCGTGTGTCTTCCTCTCTGCCTCATTGAGCTCAACCCTCTATACTCGGCTCATATAATTATGTTTGCTCGCTCATCGCCAGCAGCTGCACAACCCCTGTATTCTCTACTCAAGTATCTTGAGAGCTCTTAGATCTGTTCATCTTCTGGCTCGTTCACCCTCGCTTGTCTGAAATTATTGACTAGAACAATCCATCACTCTCCTTTCACAATGTTGAATCATCGAGTTCAGAACAAGCCAAAATAAAAACACTAAAATGAACCAGGCTGATGGGGAACACAGATTTAATGTTTGTCGTTAAGTGTTCAGTGTGAAGTTCAAGCTGAGATTTGGTCAGATGATTCTCATCCACTGCCGACCATATCTAATTGGAAGCTTTTCTACTGGGTTGAAGATGTCTTTGAATGTTAAAGAAGTGTTTTCCAGCAAGAATTTCTTATTGAACTGTCTGTATACATCTACATTTTTGGATACACGTCATTAGATGAAATACTCTGACATTTTGAAAAAAATGTCTGACAGTCTAACTTATTTTATTGAAATTTTAAACAGTTTGTGTCAGTCAAACGGTTAAAAAACATTCACTAATTCATTTGAGTGATCTCTCAAAATCTTTCCCAGGTCCCTGTGTTGACTTTTACTCTTTTTTTTCATATAGAGAGAAAAAACAAACCTGATAACACTGATGTTTATTACTGATGTTAAAGTTTTGTAGATTGAATCAAATTTTATGTTGCTTTTGGCTCCAATATGTAGTCCACCCCATATGACCATTACAAACTCATCATACTCTTGCAAATCGATTCATCTGAATCATTAAAAAATAACTTTTACAAAAGAAAAAAAAGTTAAAAATCAGACAATTTAGGTGAATGCTAATTTTTAATGGGCTTAGCACTTATTGTTCGGTCATTTTCCAAACACATATACACTTTCCACGGGTTAGTTTTTTATTGTTACTTTTTGAAAAAGGATTTGTTAGCAATCAGCGGTGGAGGATTCATTTGGTTGGTATTACAGGCAAATGATATTCATTGACTGACTCTCTCTCTCTCTCTCTCTCTCTGCATCCTCCTCTTCTTTGCCTCCCTCCCATGGGGCCGTTAGTCATTAGTAAGGAACATATATTAGTTATTTATGTGGGTGTAAGACTGTGCTGATTGGCTGGGCAGTTTGTTCCAGTACTACAGAGATCATAGCGGAGGCAGCAAATGAAACGCTTCCATTTCTGTCTAGATTTATCCTCTAATTAGCTCCTTCACTATGATTTTAATTTGCTTGTGTGGTTTAGCACAATGACCTCAGATTTATGACCTCACGGGCACTTTTAAACCTGATATAATATCTGTGCAGACTAAAGCTTTCCACAATTTTGGGATGCTACTTCACAACATTGTAAAATCAGTTAGAGATACAGTAAATGTGTTATGCGGCTTTTCAGCTAAAGTGCCATGAGAGCAATAAAAGGGTTGATAGGAACACTGTTATTTTGGTATTATTTACCATTAAAGTATTTATTATCAAATTATGTACAATTTTTGTCTTTTTATCTTTACATTTTAATTTTAGTTCAATAATTATGTTATTCTAATTTTAAGGTTAATTTTTATCTCATATTTTAATGTTTTTTCAGCTTTATTTAAATTATTGAAAATACTTTTTAGTAGTTTTAGTTTTCGTAAACATTCTTAGGAAGCCTCTTTTAATTCTCTAGGAAATATTAAAGTGCCCCTATTATGTTTTTTTTAATATTGCCTTTAATGCAGAGCTGTGAATGTAAAATGCCTGCAATGTTTTAAAGATCAAAGTACACAACAAATTAAGCTTTTGTCTCCTAAAAGGAAAAATCGATTCTGAACTGCTGAAACGAGTCATCAGCAACTCCAGACTCACTTCCCGTAACATTTCTAAGCAACAATGTAACAAATTTGCATAATACCTGCCTATATGGTCTGCCCACAAACAACGTCTACTTTGACCATCCCTCAAAACACTGCAGTTGTAGCTGAGGCCTGGAAGAGTTTGGTTGGTGTTGTCGACATGATGCTGTTTTCAGCACTGCAAATCCACTTTGGATGCATTTCAAAAGAATAAGGTCTCTCACTGCAACTGATACAGAAACACCGAAACCATCGTTACTGTGTAGCAAGCGCTGAGGAAGCCTCCAGGGTGGAAATTCCAACGCATTCTCATCCTTTAGCGTCATATGTGATGCTATATGACAAAACGGCCAAATACTATGCGCATGGCACCCGTTATCGTAAATATTACTCGCGCTGTGATGGGTAGGTTTAGGTTTGGGGTAGGGAAGGGTAGTCTCATATTACGCTAAAGGATTTATGACGCCTTGGGTTCACGTGTTATATTAACGATAAAAGGTGCCATATGCGTAGTATTTCGCCGTTTTGTCATATAGCGTCACATATGACGCTAAAGGATGAGAACGGGCTGGAAATTCAGATATCGTAATGAGCGTTTAATTTCCTGCAGGCGCTTTATGCTCTGGACAAATCACAACGGACTGGGCTGTCTGACAAATCAGAGCAGAGTAGATTTGTGGAAGGGAGGGGTTTTGAGAGACTAAATCTTCAAACTAACCATTTTCAGACTCGTGTTTTTTTTTTTTTTTTTTCAGATTTCATTTTCAGAAATCAAGTAATGTGTAGAGTATATTATGAGAAAATATAAGTGTTTTTTTGACC